TTATTATTCCAAGTAAGCACTCCGGCGGAGAAATCTCGTTGGACTCCCCGCTCATCACTATGAAAGTAATATTTTCAAGGTGTCCAGATTTTTCCAGCATGTGTGCTGTGTAATATTTGCAATGCACTAACTCGTCAAAATATATGCGTAATAAATGCTACGAAGGCTTGAAACACTTATTATGCGAAATGCATCCAAATCTGAAGGGATTATCAGAGAATTCAACGAAACGTTGCAGTATGCCGCTGATTTTTCCGTACGGCGCTATCTCTCACCCTGATATGGCAGGTGTTGATGCAACTCCCTAAGCTTTTTTAGAATACCTCTCTGGTGCTATGTGTAATTGCACCCAAGTATTCAGTAATCCATGAGGCATCCATTGCGCGTGCTTTGTCACCCAAAACGTGCTCCGAGATTTTCTGATTTCGGAGCAGCAGCGGTTTTTGAGGAACACTGCACGGCGATCTACGCCCGGCGCGAGCAGTGGGTCGCAACCGACGATGCCGAGGAACGCACGCTGTGTGCCGACATTATGGCATTCGCGGAGACATATGTGATAAATGTATGCTAAAAACACAAAAGAATAAGTCATTGCACTAATAACTGAACAACGAACATGTCTGTTTAAGTTGCATATATCCACAAGATATTGCCTCGGAGATATGAGATACGGCTGAAAGAGACCGATTTCCTGACAAATTCAACCCTCGGCCTGGCAATGATGGAGTCGATTATTGACCTAACTGCATAAAGCTAGTAGAAATCATGAGATCTTGTTAAAACAAACCCGCTGGTCGTTTCGCCAAGGTCTTTTTTCATGGTGACAACAATACTTTGGTAGCATCAGAGGGAGAGGGGACGCATCAACCGCCTTTCAGCCCGCGTTATGGAAAACGGCAAATCAGTGCAATGGTTTAGCACAGTGGTTGTTTTCGAAGCGCAGTTTGGTTTTAGGACCGTCACATGGCCTACAGTGACAGACTGAATCCAACTTCATCCAGTGCGCTCCCTGACCAACGATCTTCGTAGCCCGCTGTGGCAATTAAAACAGTTTGTTTGCACTAACATCATCCATGTTGGTAGATATACCAATTTTGAGCCCCCAAGTCCTCAATGTGCAGGTGGAAACAACTCACAAGGGGAGTCGCCAAGAAAAGAAGAAATGTAGTGCTGTGGTAAAATGTTGACAGTGAAATTAAGAATAAAACATAATCAAAGGAAACCTTCTCATTATATCTTGATTGTGCTGCAATGGAAGTGACAAGTGTTATCATTAGACTTATCTTGCCCCGAGTTTTTCGCAGCGAATGTTTTCGAAATATGACTTAAAGATGGGAAACCCCTTTAAGGCAGCGCTACCAATAATACATCGAATATGGGCGGGAAAGAACGCAGAACAGAGACAACAGAACAAGTGGACTCGTAATTGGTTTCATCTCTGATTCCAACGTGCTGAGTTTGGCTTAGGGGTTACAACTGAGTACAATGAACGTCTCTCCAGTTTTGTCATGCCTGGGGGCGATATTTCCGTTTCGCTGCCGACCTTGGGGAGTCGCAAATTACACCGTACTGAAAAATCGCCATGCATTTGTCGTCCAACATAATTGGCTGCTTGCAGCTCTGTCACAGCCACCAGGCGCTGATCCAGCTTACGGACTCTGTTCCAGTCCCCAAGCCCTACCCGAGACCACGCACCCTGAAACGGTTGCCAGTCTGGTAGCGGCCACCAGACTGATTTAATTGATTGAAAAGGCTAGACCCTGTCCCAGCTTCCAGATCTGGTCGCTGGCTCCCAGACGCCCTCCGGGCCTGGTCGCTGCCTTCCAGACACGGTCCCGGACCTGGTCGCTGCCTTCCAGACGCGGTCCCGGACCTGGTCGCTAGTTCACAGACACGCTCCAGACCTGGTCGCTAATTCCAGACACGGTCCCAGACCTGGTTGGTAGGTTCCAGACACACTCCCAGACACGCTCCCAGAGTGGGCGCACAGCCGTGAGGGTGTGTGTGTGTGGAATGCAATTTTATGCATATGACGGCCGTGCCGGTCGTTTCTTCTATCTTGAGTATAGTAATGCTCCTGTGTGGAGTATAGTGATTCTTCTTTGTGGAGTATAGTGGTGGTCATGTATGGAGTATAGTGATGATTCTGTGTGGAGTGAAGTGATTCTTCTGTGTGGAGTGTAGTGATGCTCCTGTGTGGAGTATAGTGATTCTTCTTTGTGGAGTATAGTGGTGGTCATGTATGGAGTATAGTCATGATTCTGTGTGGAATAAAGTGATTCTTCTGTGTGGAATATAGTGATGCTCCGGCATGGATTATAGTGATCCTTCTGTGTGGAGTATAGTGATGCCCCTGTGTGGCGTACGCACCGAGGAACACCTCCTGGACGATGGGCTGCTGAGTGAGCTCCGGAAAGGCAGGGATCACCAGGAAGTACACCTGGTATGGTAGCCAGCAGACGGCAAATATCACCACCAGCACTATCATCATCTTCACCACCTGCAAACAACAGACATTGTCGAGTCAAACTGACGGCGGATAAGCAAACTAGTCGTCTTCGCCACCAACGGCAAATAGCTTGCGTCAAGACAAATAAAACGAATGTGCACAATCATCATACGCATCGCAGGCGACAGCGGACCGTATTATGTCAAACAGACCGGACATACGGACAGTAAGGCGTTAGTCAAGCAAAACAGGCCGCGAATGACACCGCCAGCAAGTTCACCATCTCCTTCATCCGACCACAGTAAACAGCTCCCAAGCCACAAGAAGCTGGTATAGAACCGGAAAAAGCAATGCTTGTGTTATCAAAGCATACCTTTATGAAATGACGCAGACTGGAAAAATATCAACTGGAGATGCGTAACACTGGCAACCATTATTTATTAGCTCTACTCCTACCTGGAGAAAACTCGCGACGGGCAAATCAAATCACCATTTATGCCTATCTTATTTCTCAGTTACTCCTGTCATCTGGTAATTTCCAGGCTCATCAAAGTGAGTCCAATTCACAAACCTAAAGGTTAGCATACAGTAAGCAACACATTTGGTTCCGCTTGAAATCATCAAATTTTTCAATAATGCCATGACCTACGCAATGTGATATCATCCATACCATACGAGCAATGCCAGCATACGCCTTCACATTGCTAAGCGGGACCCAGCACTGGAGTTAGCTGCTGGACCCAGAGTTATTTTTGCACAGTTCATGCAGGAGAACGGCTAAATTCTGTATCATGTCCCGCGCGTTTAGAACACAGCATCTTGTTTACTTCGTGTGGAATACTGATAAATGGTGCTCAAAATGAGGGAAGTAGTCAGCCACGAAGCAAACTGAATTAATGTGTTCTTTTGAAATGCGTAAACTTACTTAACTGTTAACTTTTGCCCTGTTAGGTGCATACAACCCCTCAAGGTTTTCTGAGAACATCTCTCCGACATGTTATTCAGTCACGCCCAAACTTTCAGTAGCCTATAGGGCATTCATTGCGCATGTTTTAACACCCGAAAAACGTGCCCATGAAGCGTATCATTCATCGTTTCGAAGCAGCGCGTGTTTTTGCGGCGCAGGATGATCTACGGCCGGCGCGGGTGTTGGGCGGCCGCCGACGACGCCACGGGCTGTGGCGACGGGCGACATTTGTGACATAAACGGAGCTATGCGTCATAATATATCTCCAAAACACACAACATGATACCACTGTCCTAATCGAGCAGGAAACACCCCTGGTTGAGTTTCGTGTGGCTAGGACGCACGGCTTCGTACATGAACATGCGAACCTGAAAGGTTTGAGTTTTAGGAAAATTGAACACTTCATCAGGCATAATGGGGACAAATACTGACCAAGCAACATACAACTTATAACCATCCTCAATATCCCGTTGAAACAAATCCAGTGGTGAATTACGCTAGACTCTATCTTTCTTACTTAAGAAACAGCCGGAGGGAGTACTTCGACCTCCCATCAGTCCCCGTTATGGAAAAGTGGCGGATCAGGGCGAAAGGTTATTTGTTTGGTAAACTTGATTTGACCAAGTCTTGGGTGCAGTAGCCGACAGTGAGCAGGTTTTGAAACAGCGATACATCACTTTGACCTTCCCATTATGCCGCTGCAATGCCTATGTTTGAACATTACTTAACATGTTCAGCATTCGGTTTGTAGTGTGATGCGACAAAAGCTAAAGTTGGGGATTGCATGGCGTTTTAAATGATAACCAGTCATAGTTAGAAGCCGCCCATACCCAGCGAACATGCTTAGGGTTCGCCCATGTTGTCATGGCCAGTTAACAATGTCCAAAGATGATAGTCCATGTGTGATACTCAAATTTTGCCTACGTTTTGTAATATTCCAGCCAAAAATGCTGGATGGGCCCGGGCCGACATTGGGAGGGGGTCTGGGCCCCGGTACAAGAATACAAGTCAACATCCGTGGCTGCAGCCTTATCATCGCACCATGCGTCATAAACAATCATATCACCTTAGCAGATGTTCCCATTGTTAATGGGACATTCGGGGTCTTCCATTGTACGTAATGTTCCATTTACAGTGGTGTTTCAGATTGGAACGCTCCAACATAATGCGCCACACGAACCGATGGTATTACCACGAACTCCGTCCTTTAGTTTGCAGCTGATGGTCAAGTGGCAAGTGGTTCAAATGACAAAAACCTTGCTTTAAAACATTAAAAAACCTTATCAACACAAAGACTTGATTACGCACAACCACTCGAGCCGTACGGAAGGCTTGCGCACTGCGAAGAAAGTAGGCAACGGGTGTGTTGTTCGTACTGTGATATCACATAACCCAACTAAGCTACAGAAAACACCGCTGTAGGAGCAATTCAGCATCACATCACGTCTGCGATATCCGCATCAAAACAACAAGAAAGCATAGACGAGACAGATAAGGCAACAGAGAAGTGGTTTTGGAATTCGAGAACACTTTTTGCTAATCCATTGACGTGAAATAACGAGGCAAAACCATCTGAAGATTATTAATGTACGTGGTTATGTTAACTGCGCACTGCGGAGACAACTCTGCACCTGTGTTAAGGACGCCACAAGCTTTTACTTTGGAGCAGGAGCGTAACCATCGCTGGAGTCGGCGAGGCCCAGCCACCGGAAGCAGGAACAGGAAATAGCACCAGGCTTCTTGTCAATCATTTCATAAGAACATTCAAATACATCATTACGTGAGGACAACCCTAAATGGCATCAAGGTTATGTAACCACAAGCACAATATCATCTGCGTGGCTATGTGCCCAGCCAAACGCATCCGTGAAATGTAAGTATTTAAATAAATTAATTAACGCTTCACTCAGCTTAAGAACTTGATTAAAGTCCCTTCTGACTGAATGCTACTCATTACACGTCGGTTTCTTTTGGCATGCAACGATAAATACAAGAACAATTAACTTCTCTATGTCATCGGGATGGTTCATCACGATGCTCAGCAAGAACACACCGATGGGGGATTGTTCTGAACTATAATGTCACAATAGCTACGGGAGCCACAGCCGTGGCTCGCTTCTAAATGTTCATAAAGTTCACAACACTCATAAATGCGTCACAGCAAACACAATTTTGATGAAGCAACAAGTAAAGCGCTTTACTTCTTCCTTATGAACCTTATAAAACAAAAAGTAAAAGGGGTTTTTCGTTGAGGTAGTCATAGCTCCATTGAACTTGACCTCATTCCTGCCCTTACTGTGGTATTATTTATGGCTCTTCTCCACGTTTACTCGGCGTTGATTTAGTGCACTTTAGATCCGGTTTCTTTTCCAGCATATTTCGCGCACCATTGTAATTGACTTCCGGCCCTGCAGACGTACCAGGGCACCTGGTCTCGTGTCTGGCACTGCAGCCCCCTCCGCCCTGATGTGCCGCGTATATGTTGTGTCGTGCGCTGTGGTTCTGCGTGCAGTTCGGTGTGCGCTCTGTGGTTTGGTGCACAGTTCGGTGTGCGCTCTGTGGTTTGGTGCACAATTCGGTGTGCGCTCTGTGGTTCGGCGAACAGTTCGGTGTGCGCTCTGTGGTTCGGTGTACAATTCGGTGTGCGCTCTGTGGTTCGGTGTACAGTTCGGTGTGCGCTCTGTGGTTCGGTGTACAGTTCGATGTGCGCGCTGTGAGTCCGATGGGCTGTCGCGCAGCAGTCGGAGTCAGGCCGGAATCGGCGCGGATTCCGGACACTCTTTGGGACTCATGATTCAAGCGAACTGATCCGCTGTAAATTTGGATAACATTCATGCTTTAAGTTATCAAGCTGAAGAGCAGTGGATTCATATCCGGATTACATTGGCTTGAACTCCAGCCTGGGTTGGTCTAAGTCATAATCACACCAAAACATTTCAGAAACAAAGGATTCTGATCGGAAGATAGGTGCAGTATATGAGGAAATAACTGACCCGCTCAGGGCTTTTTGCACCCCAAGACCCCACTCTGAACCAATACAGCGTCCGTGGCTTAGTGGGTTGGCTAATTATTTTAGTTTGAACGATTAGGTGCTGGGGTTTTCACTTCTACTTGCTGCCCATATCCCTCACTATCTATGTTCCTGTCAATCATCAAGCCTGAAAATATGTCAGTTGGGTCTCGTAAGGAACTTCTAGAGTTGTCACAGATCACATGGACTATGCGAGTCCGGGTTTAGCTCGGACTCAAGTGACGTTGAACGGACCGACTCGGACTTGGGTTCAAATCCAAGGCTGCGAACTGTCACGGGACTTCAGCTGCTGCGGAGCCGTATGAACTTGAACCGTGGATGGAAGGTAAGGAACCGGGACTAAGACTCTGTCTTTTGTGAGGTGGAAATTACGTAAGTTGCTCAGTGCATTAGCGAGGCATGTTGCCGAAATATCAGCTCAACTATATCTCCATTCTCCTGTTTCTCCTCTGAGGAATAAGGCTAATACTACTGTCTTAGCTACGTGAAGTGGAAAGATCGACCCGGGATTCCGTTTGTGTGCACATCCACATGCTGGCGCCTCACAGCTCTGCATGTGTCGCTCATTTCGTCAGCCGTTGCGGAAGCTCACCGCGTGTGTAATGGTGCCCTTTTGTCAAAGGTCACGAAAGGTCACTATGACGTAGGAATGGGCTACCGAAGCACCTCAATGACCTTGCCTGTTAGACCGCTCCCAGCTCTCAGTCTGAGGCCAGCTCGGCGCCAGCGGAGACCGGTGTCAGCAGATCTGTCAGAGGCAGTACGGAAACGTCCAGCAGCAAGCTGATGAAGCCGCCCATCTCGCTGATCAGGACGGCGGCGCCCCGACCCCACCTCCCTCAGAATGAGGGGCAACCATGATATTGATGTCCGAATATTCGCCGTAGGCTTTGGGTAAATTTTTGATGCTGAGATCGACGATGTAGCGTTGATGCTTGCAGGTTGGCTGGCAACGACAGCGTCCGAGGTATCTTGCAAAGTCCACTCGTATTTACAACAAACCCGCAGAGCATTCAGTCAGGTGGAGGGAATCTTCCAGCATAGCCGGTGCTG